ATAATGTTCTCCTTCATTTGTTTTTTTTTTCTATTTCGTCTCCATTTATTTTATTTAAATTGACGTAATTTATTGTTGTTGTATTTTATTGAGCTCTACTTAATTTCATTTCATTTTGTTCTATTTTATTTCATTATTTCATTTAATTTAATGCAATTTAATTTTATCTGCTTTATATTAGTTTTTTAATTAAACTTGATGTAAAATAACTTAATTTAATTTAATTTAGTTTAGTACTATATAAAATATTTGAAATTTTTTTAAATTTAAATTAATTTGATTTCATTTCATGTAATTTAATTTAATTCAATTGAATTTAATGCAAATTATTCAATTTTTTTCAATTTAAATTAATTAACCTAATTTTAATTTTAGAGTAAACTTTTTGCAATTTATTTATATTTTATTTTATTTTATATTTTGTTTTATTTTATATTTTATTTTATTTTATATTTTATTTTATTTTATATTTTATTTTATTTTATATTTTATTTTGTTTTATTTTATATTTTAGTTTATTTTATTTATTTTTTTGCTTTATAGAATTATTAATAAAAAATAATTAATAATAAAAACATAGTTAAGTCGATAAAACTATAAAATATTAGTACAAAATCAAACTGAATTTTCAACAAAAACTAATGCAACGAAAAGATATAGCTAAACAAAACAGAAGAACAAAAGCAGTGCTGTGGGTAAAAGATACAAGAAATGTTCAATATTGTGGTTGAGTTGTACTTTTCACCGCAAGTGTATTTAAATTTTTGTATTATCTAACAATAAAGTAAGCCGTATTTAGCAAAAATAAAAAAACCAATAACTATAATAATAAGAAAGTGAGAGGTACGGGAACAGAGTGGTACTGAAATACAACTTTAAGCAAACAAATAGGAATAAAACATAGAAAGGAAAACAAAAAGCTATATTTAAAATAATTAAGTGAAAACCTTATTTTGGTATGTTATCAGGTCACAGTCGTTGCATCAACTATATTTGCTGTGCTGCGCATGTGCATGTAAGGGTAATTGTTTGTGAGAGGAGATTAAGGCACGTTTATTTCACTGATCACAATGTATGCAGCAGCAACAGCAGCAGCAACAATAAGCTGAGTAGCACGAGCTACTAACGACAACGAGTACAAGATCTTCTATGGCGAACGCGTTGTGTGGGCAACACGTTTGTTCGTTGTAATATCCATTCTTCCCTCAATCACTACAAATTATACGTACTACAAGAATTTTGAAAAACAAAAAAGATATAAAAGAACAAAATAACATATGTATATACTGGTGTACATAATGAATTCATTTCAAAAAGGTTAAGCAATGAATTTAATGCGTTAGGAAAGCAATTTTGTTTAATAATTTTTGGTTAAAATTTTAGTTTGAATTTTATATAATTACTATAAAAATAAACATAAAACACCAAAATATTTATTATTATTTTTTTTTTTGAATCAACAAAATAGGAAATAAAAACTTTTAAAGAAAGGCTTACGTATCAACTTTCCAAACTATCAAATGCGCCTCATTATCACCAGGATCGGTTATGGATTTTTCTTGCCCTGCAGACAACAATAATTTCAATTAAGTGTGTGGAGTAAAAAATAAAATAAGTTTCGAGCATACATGCGTATCTTCTAAATATATGTAATAAAGTAAAATAAATTTGACAATAATAAAAATATATTTGGAAAATAAGGGTGGTAGATAATTGCTAAATTGGAAAAATAGTTGGAAATAGAAGATGCCTTCCACGTGTGTAGATATATATATTTATATAGCAGTCCTGAGGTGAAGGAGCGCGCACACTACAACTAGCATAAGCGATATTGGCCATCCATTTGGTACACACACACACACATACACACTACACGCTCTACACGACCTTACATCAACTATCAATATCAACTACATAATACACCACGGAGCAGTTATAACTTACTTATGCGAAAATCTATGTAACCTTCGCCGCCACACATGACCAGCATATCCGGCCGCTTGTTTGTGAATTGCAGTTGTCCACCATCTTGTGGCTGCATCGGCACGGACACAAAGAACTTAACCGCATCACGATGGCCGTGGAAAGATAGTTGAGCATTAGCCATGCAGCATAACGGTATTTGACTATTGGGATCAGCTGTCAAGAGAAATTATATAGTACGACAGCGTTGTCTTTCTCATTTTTCACAAAATTCACTTACTTAATTTGCCTTGACCCTCCGATAATGGCACCGAAATTATGACACCGTTACTGGTACCGATCCACAAGCGGTTACATGACACCATCAATGCGGTAATACGCACAAAAGAGAAACCCAATTTGCCTGTGCCCAACATTTTCGAGACGTACGGCTCAATATCCACATCCTGCTTGTGTTCGAAAGTGTGCGAACTGTACAAACGCAGTGTAGAGTCCAAGCTGTGATTTCAATTTTATATAGCAAATTTAATAATTCCACAAAACAGAATAGTACAATTTTCATATACTGACCGTATGGAGACCCATACACCTGCACCGGTAGCAGCCATTTGTCGCACTTGGCTCTCCTTACGCGGATGCGCCTCAAGCGAATGGACTATGCTCAATGAGATCGGATCGACAATATAGATCTTATTGCGATGAGCAGCCCATATGCGTTCGCCGGCCACACAGAGACAACGTATCGAATGATTACGATCACCGAGCGTCACTAGGTGATAACTATTCAGATCCCATTGACCGTCTGTTTGGCGGCGAAACACTGCCAACTGAGCATTAGCTAGGGCTACGACAACGCGCGATTCCACATGCACTATCGCTAGGACGGCATCGGGCAGGAGAACCTTATGCAAACATTCATGCCAACGGCCTACCGCACTATGTACGTACAGCCAACCTTCCTGATCGCCCATCCACATGGTCGGTCCTACCGAACTCATTGGTGGCTCTTGACGATTCTTCGTACCCAATATCGGGTTGATGGGCTTCGAGAAGGACGGCTGCATGTTGTTATTGTTGATGTTCGCTTTCGCATTAGTCACACTGCCGTCGTCCTGTAAACGTTGTGGTGCACCTGGCAGCGCCTGTCGTACCTTAATCTCATCTATATTGCCCAACGGTTCGTTGGATACGGCCTTCGTGCCGTCTGCTGCTTTTTCAACAGCTTCCTTTGCATTTTCTTCCACAGAAACAGTTTCCACCGCTATCACCTCCTGTGCCTGTTCATCGGCTTTAACATCTTTGCTGGTGTTGCTGTTTTTATCGGCTTTCGGACGCACACGCACAAACTCAACCTTACCAAACGATTCCGTGCCTTCACCAGGACGCTCCAACATTTCGCCAGCCTTTACAACTTCAGAGTTCTCTAGCAAAGCATAATCTTTTTCAACAGCACCTATTTTTGTACATAAAAGCACATTTATTAAATCGTAAAGAAAAAGAAAGAAAAAAAGATTAAAACTATTTATAGCGCCCTTACCTTGTACCGAAGCAATACAAAGCATGTGTGATGCGCATATGGGGAAGGCATCCAATACAACCGCTGATTGATTCGCATCCACTACGGTCACAGTGCTCGCAGCATGCGTACTCGTGCATATCCACACATAGGAGGACAACTGCGTTTCTGGTTCCAAATTAGCCAAACTCGCACGATTTATCTGGCGATCGAGTGCTTCAGCCGAATGCTCTGCTGTCGGGCTGGTAATCTCTGCAATTTTTGCTGTCGAACGTGGCGCGTACGGTGAACTCGCCGGTATAACCGAATGACCATCTTTGGTAAAACCGCCGTTAAGATTAACACCTGCTGCGCAGAACACCTTCATATGCGGTGATGCCTCCGCTAAAGGATTACAGTAGACTGGCACTGGCACGCCGCCAGAATGACGATTTGGTTGTTCTTGGTTCGCCTTGTTTATGGGCAAACTCCAACCATAAGCCTGCAAACGGCCATCCTCTTTCTGCACATGCGCACGCAACTGACGGTACTGTTCGCGCCGTCGTGCACTTGCACGTTCGGATGTGCCCTCCTCTGAGTAGTCTTTTGCCATCATCAAGGCATTTGCTAAGCCCGCGCTGGCGGGATGTGGTGGTGGATTAGCATTGTCACGTGCGCCCGTTATGGCAAGGCGATTGTCGCTATTTCGACTGGGGGATCCGTGGCTGTGTACTGGGCTGGAGTAACGAAACATAGGCCCCCCTCCCTGCCCGTCAGCGACACGCTCCTGCGGGCGATTGGAGGGGCTGTAAGTGTGAACAATTTTTATTATAAATATATATATATAAATATATTTAAAATCAAACACAAACAGTGTAGAAGGCAACATACGTGAATAAACTACTGAAATATTTCCAAATGCTTTGCTTCGACTTTTTGTCCAAATTGTCAACAGTACGAGATGCACGTAAAATTTCGGTTAAACGTACAGCTTCTTGTAATTCCATTAGACGTTCCTTGTATTGATTTCGCTCCATCAAAACCATTGCCATTTCCACGCGTGTAAAGCGTTTGCGTTGGGCTAATGGAACATCGTTCTCATCCTGTTCAGTGTCATCTGTTAGGGTTCATAAAACAAATTGTGCGTTTTTTAATGGTTAACTTACTATGGAAATATCCACTTACTTTGTTGCTTCACTTGTTCCTTTGTCTTTTTCAGTTCTTCCTCCAATTCACTCACTTTCTGTCGCAGTTTGTTGCGCGATTGTTGCATTGCATTTAATTCTTCGCGTAATATTTCTATCTCGCCTGTGAGCTCATCCACTTTGGCGATCAAATCATCCTTAACAATGTTCAAAGCATTCCTGTGTGCAGTGAAAAAAAATGTGTAAAGTAAATTATGAATACTGAGTGCTTAGCTGGACTTACTTCGTTGCCAAAAGTTCATTGTTCTCCATGATGAGATTTTCCACTTCCTTGCCCATGCCTGAAACATGTTAATAATGATTTAGATAAAAAATTTAGCATTTCATTTCGATGACTATTTCATTTACAAACTAATTAAAAGATTCATGATATGAAAGAGTGTGTGGGAGAGATGTTGACTACAAAATCCGGTTAATTAAGTACTCGTTGGAAAAATTCATATTTAATGATTTAAAGAAAAAACGAAAAACAGAATTACTATTAATAATTAATAATAATAACTGCAGAAATACATACATAATAAAATTAATAAAAATTAAATAACTAAATATGAAATGAAATAAAAAGAAAAAAATGATGTAAAATAAATTAATTTTAACCATAAGAAAATAAATAATAAATAAATCATAAAAAAAAATTAAAAATTCAATAACATAGAAACCAAAAAAAAAAAAAAATAAAATAAAAAACAATAAAATACTATAAACTAAGATAAAAGAAAAAATAAAATACAATAAATAAAAATTATATACATTCACTTTTATTAAAAAGTATATGGTATTTAATAAAATAAAATTACGTAAAACAAAACAAATGAAAGCAAAACTAAATCTAATTTAATTAATTAAAAAATTAAAAAAAGAAAAATAAATAAAAACGCAAAATAAAGGAAATTATGCAAATAAAATAGAAATAAAAATAAAATAAAGTAAAAAATAAATAAATAAAAATAAAACCAAATCAAATTAAGTTAATTATGAAATGAAAATATTTGTTTATTTATTGCATAATTTATTTTTTAAAACAAATAAATTTCATTTGGTTTTATTTTTGTAATTAATTTAATTTGTTGTGGTTTTATTTTTATTTATGTTTTTTACTTGATTTCATTGCCTAGCCTTTATAATTCGTTATATTCTACGTTAAAATTAAATAAATCAAAATAAAGCAAAATAAAATAAAACTAAAATTAAATTAAATATGCATTATTGAAATAAAATTAAATAGAAAAAAAATAAAAATAATTTAATAAAAAATAAACAAAATAAGATAAAATTAAATGAGATACAAATTTTAATTAAAGTAAATAAAAAATGAAATAAAATTAACTTAATAAAACAAACATAATTAAAAATTAAATAACAGAAAACTAAAATTCAATTAAATCAAACAAAGCAAATTGATATATACCGAAGCAAAATAAAGTAAAATATAATACAATGAAAAAGTATAAAATTAAAATTTAATTAAGAAAAATTAAAACAAAATAAAATTAAAAAAAAAAAATTCAAATAAAATAAAGTAAAAAACGATCATATAAAATAAATCAAGATAAAGTAAAATATTATGTAATAAAACTAAAGTTATTTAAGTATAAATAATATAAAATGCAAAAAAATCAACTAAAGAACTTAAGGAAAAACAAAATAAGGTAACATATTAAATTAAAATAAAGCTACTTAAATTAAACAGAATTCCATCAAAAAAAAAGCTAATTTAAATAATTTGATATAATTAAATAAATAAAGCAGAGAAAAATAACAAAAAAAATTTATAACAAAATAAAAGTAAAATTAAATTAAATAAAATAAAGTTTAATTTGAAAAATAAAAACAAGAAAATAATAAAATAAAAAAATTCAAAATAAAACATTAAATAAATATAAATTAAATATTGTTTGCCGGCTTGAGGTCAATATAAATAAAAACACAATATTAGTTTTGCTTTGCTTCGATATACAAAGTTCTCCAAAACCATTAAAATAAATATAAAATTTTAATTTAATTAATCATTCCCAATTAATAAATTAATAAGACTCGATGAAATTTTTATACAAGTATCCACGACTATTTATTCACAATGAATGCCATTACTATGATAATGAAAATAATGAAAATATTTCAGTTTAAATAACAATTGAAATTAACACAATTTTCACCAAAACCAATGTTACAAAACAAAACTTAAACTTAGGTTCAAAACAATAAAAACCAAAATCAACTTTACCAATAATAGAGATGTCATCTACATAAAGAACTACTTTAACTACTTTACGCAGTACAGTACAAAGTAGACAAAATAATTCGTCGTAACTTACCAAAATAGTTGTCGTTAGCTTTACGAACAACAGCAAATCGCAAAATACATTATTAGGCATTTTAAATTCGAACGCAATGCGAGTAATGCGAGAATCCAAGCAAAGTATGCACGATGCACACAATAAATCAAATATCAATCATTCGTTTCAAATATCCATAATCCAAAAATGTTGTGCATAATTCACATATATTTTCGTACATATGTATTTATGTGCATTTGAGAGTGTGTGTTCATTCGTTCGATATGTTTTTTTCGATTCAGTTTTCATTTAAGTTTTTTTTTCATAAAATTTCGAAAATTGAGTATTTGTGAGAAAGGAACAGGACAAAAGAGATGATGAGTTTGGTTATACATTTTGTGGTTGGATTTTAAATATTTGACATATATATATGTATATTATTTTGTTATTGTCCACCCAACTAATGGGCTAGATGAATGTTGCCAATTGTTGTTGTAGTTATTGAATTTCTTTTCCTTTTTTTTTATCTTTACATACATACATAAATACATGTATGACTTTGAACTTAGGCGATTACAGTTATTAATTGATGTTTAATATATTTACATGTTACATATATAAATCCATAGATATATGAATCTTGATACCTACCCGAAGAAGCATATTCTCCAGGATGCACCCAGCTGCCTATAGTGGATGTTTAACATGCGGAAGACGTGCGTTGGTGAGAGAGAGAGCAACAGGAACACAGGAGGAGAGCGCATAACCATCAGCATATATGTATATAGTATTAGCGCGAGACAATTCCACAAAGCAGAAGTATTATTTGTTGTAGTTTATTTTTGTTTTAATTATTTAGCATAATATTTAGTTTAATTGAGTGGTGAGCGATTGTCGGCAGCGTGAGAAAGAAGCATTTCGAGCATTTATCAAAACGTGGCATTTTCAAACAGCATATAAACACGTTATAAGAGAAATAAAACGTAAATAGGCATTTAAATATTTTAAATAATATCAATCTAAATTAACAAATCTTTTATAATGTGGTATATATGCATATATGTATATTATATGTATGTAAAAAATGTATATTCGATACAGTTTTGTTGCAAGCTTTTTTTTAGAAAACAAATATGTACACATGTATGTAATGAAAATGTGATTTAATGTAATGTATTTGCGGAAATTTTGTACGCGCAACCAGTGAGTCAAAGATGAATTTATAAAAAAAAAATTAAAAATAAAAATTAAAGTATAAAAATGTTAATAAAAAAGTTAGCCCACATACCTGTAACAACTTCATGCTCTTCACTCTCTTCGTTATCTTGAAAGGACAACTCTTGGTATAGGGTATTAGCAGAGCGTTGCTCCTTTTTGGTTGTTGAACGCCCAACTGCGCGCGCGCATTTTCATAAACATTATTCGAAAAAAGTAGGAATTTCAAATTTCAATGGAGTTGTAGGTGATTACAAGGATATGGAAAGGGTTAATAATATTTTGTTTTTTGTTTTTTTGTAACACATTTTTTTAGTTAGCACAAATATAAAAATGATTGAGGTAAAAATGAGTCCAAAATATATAGATTTTTTTCGTATTCAGATGCATAATACAGTAAGTGTAAAAGGTAGAAGATTAAAGAGATAAAAAAAAAATTAGTACAATTGTAAAACAGTTAATATATGTATGTACAAAAATAAATTATGTAAGTTGTATTATTATAATTATTATTTTATCTTATCACTCACCACTCGCTGGTGCATTTGGCACAACGGGACTCGTTTCGCTTTGCGGCGATGTAGCTTGATTCTGTTGCTGCAGCGTGTCTGTCTCAGCCGCACGTTCAACTGTCTGCAAACTATCCAATTCATTTTGCAATGATGGCGGACCAGAATCATCCGAATTGCTGCCAACACTACAGATTGTCTCTGTATCTAACATGACTGAGTTCTCGAGCGAAGCGAAGCCATATGACACTGGACCGGAGGACCTTCATGGAAGAATAATTTCTAGTTAAATTAAAATAAATATATGTATAATATTTAACATTACCGTGCGATAGGATTTAATCTGGCTCTATTCACTTCCAAGCGCTCCGACGCTGAACTCATTTGTGAGTGTGTCGAACCCATGAGCATTTTGGTACGTTCCATGTAGTCAACATGATTTTTGAAAAGCTCCGTATAGCGTTCATGTAGCTTGTTATACTCCTGCGGATACGGGTTAGTATGTTAAGTATTATTTAAAACAAAAACAAAAACAAGCGAAAATCTAAATTGTATCTACGAACCTTTTTCAATTCAGTTTCACGTTCCTCCAAGCGACTCGCATGCTCTAAGCTATTTTTATGCTTCAACTCAAGCATGCGTACAATGCTTTCCAATGATTCCAGGCGGCTCGCCAGATCTTTATTTTCCTGTTCGGCCACATCTTCGGCTTCGAGCAGCTGTAAATCGCAAATTTATTGTTATGAAAGTTTCCATAATTAAATAACAACAATAAATAATAATAATTATATCATAGAGTACCTTTTGCTCCGATTGTTTTCGTGCACTCTTTTCTCGCTCATATTGTGTTACCAACTGCTCGTTGTCTTCACGCAGCAACTCCAATTCAACATCCTGTTCCTGGTTAATGCGATACGATGCGTCCAGACATTCCAAGACATTCACCAGCAACGGCATAAGATTTTTAACTACATCTTCATCATAACGATTGATCATGCGTTCGAATTCTTGGTATATACTACCAGCTAATTGTTGCACCTAAGACAAGAAAGATGGTGATTAGTATTAGTGTGGTTATGTGGTAGGCAATAAAAGAGCCGAATTAAGAAGTAAATTTATTTATTTATCTATTTTATTGACCGTCTCACAAAAGTTCTTCAGAATTATGTTACTTAGGAAGCTAAGAGGGCTCCAATTAGTCGCCTGCTACAGGCAATATTCCATGGACTTGTGAAGAGTTAATCATTGAAACATAGAAAAATGATTGTAATTATTTGGTTTTACATGGCGGTTCCCTCGTCTGGTAGTACTACATTTCGAGGTCCCTTCAACTTCCGTGAGATAATATATGCCGATATATATTTATTCGATCTTGCCGTCCGGTCAGAATATTGACAGTTCAAAGGTAAACGGTTGTGTCTCTGTTGTTGTTGTTGTTGTTGTAGCAGTTTTCCAACCCCACTTAAGATCAGTATAAGTCATCGAGGTCATCTAACGGTAGGAAACGAGCTATTTTCAAGGTTTCGGACCCGAAAGAAACACGTTAGATAAGTTGGTTTTGAGGGGCGAGCAAGGAGGTGGTTAGTATCGGACAGGGACTCATTGCAAGCAGCAAATACTTTAAGTATGATGTGGCTACATATGGATAAGTAGGAGTGTAGTCTACTACAATATCCAGATCTAAGTTGTGCCGTGTATTGCGCGGGAATCTCGAGACAGCTCGAACTCTTCGCCTGCAATAGGTGGAAGAGAGTTCAATAAGCTCTCGATGCATGGCAGTCCTCGTCATCTCCAGCGGTTTAGGAGCTCAAGAATTTACCCGCGGTAAGGCATGCCTGTCGTAAGAGGCGACTAAAATCCCATAGTTCCCGCGACAGTCGGGTATTTATACCGGAACGACCCAGACTTTTATCCGGCCAAGGATTGTCACTCCCGCAACATTCCCCAAGGCTTGAGGATCGTAAGAATACCACCCTGAGGACCGTGACCAGAAACCATCCGTTGTCCGAACATGTTCATTAACATTCAAACCTGAGTATGTTAGTTTACGAATGAAAACAGTTCCCATTCTTTTAACCTTTTTAAACGACAATTTGGTTTACTCAATGCCACTTACATGCTTGACTATTATCTTAATGAAGCGGCTGTAGCATTAACATCTCTGTTATTGAAAAGTTTATAAGTTTTACTGGCTCATAACAACAACAACAACAAGAACAACGAATACAGATAAATATGTATGTACAAAAATATTATTTTAAAATTGATAACAAATTTTTACAGAGAAATGGTGACGCCCAACTTCTTTTCGTTCGTTCTTATCAGTGAACTGAGTTAATGAATGAAAGCATGAAGAACTTTTGCGTTTAATCGTCAATCGGAATGATTCATGTGGTGTATCACATGGTGCTTTCATTTCACATAAATATAAATATCTGACTCTTAAATGTGAATAATAAAAAGGGGAGAATACTATTTTCGGCAAATGTACCAATCATGGCTGCCGTAGGAGCTAAATGGTTAGCAATTCGGGCTAACATTCGGAGAGTAGTGAGTTTGTATGTGGGCCAGACCAACATCTAATATTACAGAAAACACTTTTGTACCCCCCTTGCAGGGAATGTCAACCTCTCTGATATTATTTCTGAAATGAAAAGCTTCACATAAAAAGCTATCAGCCGTCCGAAGATGGCTTGGGATAAACTGTAGGTCTCGACATTTAACAAATATAAAGTAGCACCTCACCATTGGAGAAGCTCAATCCATCTATGCAGAATGCCAACATTTATATTATTGAAAGATTAAATGGTGTACATGAGCCACAGTATAGAGCAAAACATTTGCAACCTTCAACACCACTTTCTTTATAATAATATTTTTCAGAGATACTCTTTCACACCTGATCTTGAGGTTTTTCTCTTCCTCAGATTCCATCGACGAGTAATGCATCAAATACTTTCAAAACTTGAGTGTTTTCATCCCTGAACTTTTTCAATGTATATCGTTCCAGCGTCTACGGTATTTTTCTTCGCCCCTACACTGAGTACCATAAGTCTTCGGCAAAACTCTTTTAGATTTTAGTTTTTGTTCGTCGCAAAGAGACTACTTTTCGATTGCCTACTCTATTCAAAGTAGCATTTGTAGGCAAGAAGTACAAGAATGATTTTGCGCTGAATTTCCTGATTGGTATTGTTGATGCTGTTTCCTAGATGGACGACATTATTTTCGAGATTGTATCTACGAACAGTCACATAAGAGCCTGGACACGAAAACCCAACTGAACGGTTTTGTAGAAGATGTTGTCTTGTATATTTAGCTCTCCAGCAATAAGTTTAAGCAGTCACACGCGAGACAGACGCTTTGTTTGAAACCTTATCCAGTATTAGAAGGCCCGTCCTTCATAATTCTTACAAAGCTGTTAGTGTTGCTCACTTTAGGTTTAAATAGCTGTAGAGGTTTTGCGGTAATATCAAATTCAGACAAAGCGGCATAGAAGGCATCTTCTTTTTGTGCTGTCGAAAGCAGTTTTGAAATCGATGAGCCGCACGGCTAATAGTGGTTTTACCATGTCTCACTCCACACTCATAAGGCCCGATCAGTTTGTTGACGATAGGCTTGTCTTTCCCATCATATGCTCGTTTCTATCCTATAAGTGATATTGATGAGGATTATCAAACCATAATTGTGTCAGCTTGTGAGACCCCGTTTTTTTGCATTCGGCAGAGTTTCGAATTGCAGCGCACATTACCCGCCGCCTATATCCCGCAAAGAAGCTGATGCATGTACTTTTTCAGTTAGGCGCCGTCAGATTTGAATAGCTCAGCCAAAAAGAACTCAGCTCTCGCAGCTTTGTTTCTTTAAGCGGGCATTAAATTTTTGAGCTTCTTCCAAGTTTGGTAATGGAACTTCCGTATTATCGCCATCGATTGCGGGCTCGTCAACTACGGGTGTTTAGTTGAGTAGGGTAAAGTAGTGTTCCCTCTATAAATTTAGTATGCTAGTGATATCGATCACCAAATACCCTTTCTTGTACTGGAAAAGCACCGTTCTTAAAGTGTCGTAATTTTTTTTTAATAGAACTTTCGAGTTTTTTTCTATCCCTCATCCTCTCCTTCGCACTCTCTTTAACATTTGAAATTCTGTAACTTTTTTTTGGAATCATCCACTATGAGCTGCTCCCTTACGGCAAAAGTCTTGATTCGGGCCTGCAATGCCCTATAATGCTCCCAGCTTTGGTCACCAGGAGGAAAATTGTGTTTCATCAGGACATCACAGATCACACACACATCGATAGTGACTCGCCGGAAGCTCCGGGAGCTCGGTGGGAAGGTTGACATGCAACTACCTTTTAGTATGGACCTCGCATCAAGCGATTTCAACTTATTTTTGTTTATGGCAAATTGGCTGGTGTAAAATCAATTGCTCTAATTTTTGCCACCATCAAAATGATAAACATTTATTTGACATAAATCGGTTATTAAAGCCTACAATTTATGTAAAACAAAAATAATGGATTACTTTTTACTAGAACAATTCCCACATTCAAACTTTTGCATTGCAAAAGTAAAAAGATATAGATTTTGGTAACACATTTGTTAGATACTTACTACAGAGGCATGTACATATGTATGTACACATGCACATACAAACGCCCTTCAAACGTAGTCAATTTTTGGGTTAATCTTAACGACTTTGATTTTCATGTGGGTTTCACCTGTCTCTGAACCGGTTTTATTTGCATGGGAGTTTAAACAGTATGTACATATATGCATCAAACGGCCTTGCTGTGACTCACATGCTGACATACATACTTGTATATACCTATATACATTTGCACATATGTACATAAATTTAGCTACTTTTGAACGTATCAGTTATTGGGTGAATAAAATTTGCGGAAATAAAAGTCATGACATCAAAATTAAATATAGAACCTAATTTTATCAGCAGAAAAATAATGGTAAGTAGAAATAATTAAGCATTTCTTACACACAGATAAATCCATGTTTAAATATATTTGATCGAGTCGATGAAACTTGGATTCATCAGTATGTTACCGAGTCCAAACAGGAGTCAATGCAGTGGATAAAAAAAGGAGAGTAGCCAATATTACGCTAATTTGTAGAGTCAGGCAGTCGTATAGAAGAGACCTGGCAAGTTAGCATACAGAAAGTTGTTTCTTCAAGACAACGCACCCGATCACACCGCTCGGGTTGCGAGGGATGCCTTAAAAGCTACTAGATTTACAGAAAATGACCATTCACCCTACAATCCGGACGTGGCTCCCACTAACATTTTCGTTTTTTTTTTTTCAAATTGAAAAAAGGAGTTGCGGGGACGTAGATTTTCAGACGACAGTGAGATTGAAGCGCCCGTAAAAACCCTTTTTGAAGAGAAGTCTAAATAATATTTTTTCAGTGGCATAAAAGCACACTTTGTACGATGTGAAAAGTGTCTTTCACTTTAGACGCTTAAGTTGAAATATAAAGCTCACGAAACTATACACTTGCTTCATTAAGTACTTTAGGTCACGAATTTATCAACCGCTCCTCGTATATGTGCGAAATGTGTTACAAAATGAGAATGGTTGAATTTCGCTTGTTTAGGCGCAAAAAGTGTTGATTTGACTTGATTTGACCATTTACCGGCAATCTGCGCGTTGGCACGTAAATTAGTCGCCGCATTTTGGAAGGGAGTATCGGACGAAATAATAGGGATTCGAGGAATGAGGACGTCTTCACTTTTGAAAGGACCGGTCGGAGTTGTTGCTTCTATTACGTTTTCCTATATTTGTTGCGACTAATTAATATTACGCAGGATTATAATGGTCGCAAGGATTTTCTTAATTTATACGTGCGATGGGACCCCTGCTAAGTCCAAAAAGATCCAAGATTCTGTTGAATAATGGAATATTGGACTAAATAGTATGGTTGAGATCGTAGACATCTTAGTTTGTTGCGGCGAGTAGAGATCACTCATTCAACCCTATAAATTATGGGGATATTTGGAAATACTCGGTGATTCAATTATTCTTTTGGCGTCACTAAATTCTACAAGTTATCGGGTAATGTAATCCGTCCGGAAGTTCGATCAATCGGCATTTTGCCGCTCCCCATTTCCAGTAACTGGCGTGAATATGCATTGGCCTAGAATTCATTTTGCTAGTTGACAAACATATTGCTGATCAATTGCATGAGGAATGACAGGCAGTTTTGTTATGAAAACGTTTCAGTCAATGCTTGTTTATAATTAAAAAAAAATAAAAATAAAACCATCCAATTTCAAGTAAATCGAACCATGAATAAGATTTTTTTCGTATAAACCTTCCCACGGACCATATAGATAACCTGACAAAATTTCAAGTCAATCGGGCGAAAATTTTTTATTACAAGATTACCGGATTTTTACGGTTGAAGAAAAACCGCGGCGATGCGGTTACTGATACGTTCTTGTTCACTAAGTCCATAAAAGTCTCACTGTGCTCATTGTGTTTTTTGTTCCATTTCGAATGGCTAATCAGTACTACCCACAAGTTAAACGCCCGTGTTTGTTGAAAAACAATTTTTGGCTTTTGCATCAGCATAAGGCGTCTTCTATGTTTATTCGTGGTTTTTGGCCAAAACCAATACTGTAACGATGTTCCAGCTTTCATATTTCCAGGCATGGTTCCAAACAACTTTTTTCCATTTCCAAAAATAAAAAATAAATCTAAAACAGCCATCATTTAAAGACCGTAAGAGACTTCAAAAACGCATGTAGAGAGAGGTGAAGAGGAAAACTTTTATGTCTGATTTCAAAGAGGAGAGTTTTTGGGTTCCTACAGTGAAGAAACGAAAAAGGGAGTTTATCTTCGTATACAAGTAATTGAGTCCACTGGAAACACTGGACGAGTTTCGATAAGTTCGGAAATCATGATGCCATAAATAAATAAGTAGAAGTAATTATTGAACGAAATGAATGTTTGGACGGTTGTCCAGCTCTTGGATTTGATTTTATTTTTTAAGCCACTCTAGGATTTTGGAAAACGCAATTTTTATTATTTTTTTTTTTGCTCACAGTGTTCCTTTGGGCCCTAGAAATGATATGCAAAAAATTAGCTAAAAAATCCGTACGTACTTCCAAAGACCATAGTTTGTAGATCATAGAACTTTTTGCTTTTCTGTGCTATGTCTCATCCTTTAGAAGAAATCGGTCCTCCCGTGGACGTCTTTCAAAAAAGCCATTTTGTAACAAAATAATAATTAAAAATAATAATCTATAAGTCAATATATGTTCAATGAAATGGTTAAATAGAAATTAAATTCCTTTTTCCATATTTCTACAATAAATTTAATAAAATGAGTCTATTTTTCAAACTTTAAAACTTAGCGCACCACTTCTGATTATTCTCTCAGCTGACGACACATGTTCTACTGTGGTAAGTAAGGTGAATTTTTAATTTACGCTTCGCGCGTTTAATATTTCAGGTTAATTTTTTTTGTTTAAAATTGGTAGCACTATTATTGGCATCTACGCCAAATTTGATGACAATGTCATCATTGCTATTTTAGTTACGCTTCTGTTTACTAAACGACTAAAACTCCCTTCCACGATTATTATATGATCTGATTTAATTGAACTAAGAGTGCGATCAAATTTTGTTTGCGGAACGAATTTTCGGCTGCTGGAACATAGAGGATGCTACAGAATGCCTTTGGGGACTCAGCTATGTTGCAGAAAAGCGTGTATAAGTGGCACAAAGACTTCTTTGCGGCAAGGCCGAAAAAATCCCGTCAAAGTTGCTCAAGGTCCTGTTGACTGTTTTCTTCGATTCTCGTGCTGTGGTGTACTATGGATTCATTGCGCTCGGTCAAACGGTAAATGCGGAATATTATTTAAGCGTTATGCCACATTTGCGTGAAGTAATTCGCAAAAAAAAAAACCAAATTTATGGGCCAGCAATTCTTGGTTTTTGCATCACGATAATGTACCGTCATTCTACGAGACCATTTCACTAAAGTTTCCACGAATATCGTGTCCCAACGACCGGACTAAGCACAAAACGAACTTCTGACTCTTCCAAAAACTCAAGAGACCACCTCGAGGACACTTCTGGCTCTTCCAAAAACTCAAAAACCACTTTGAGGACACTGTTTTGAGTCAATTGAAGAGATTGAAAGTGAAGCGGCGCGCTCTCTGAAAGCCGTACCAGAACGTGACTATTTAACATGCTTCGATAATCGCAAAAAACGTTGGCATGAGTACATTGCATCGGCAGAGGACTATTTTTAAGGCTGTAGAAGTATAAATAAAGATTTTTAAATTTACAGACAAATTCACCCCTTACTTTTTGCCCACAGTAGTATATCTGTTCGCTACCTAATAAAGAAGGAACGTCCCTTTAAAAAAAAAAATAAAATAAAAATTGGTAGCCTAAATTAAAATAATTATGATAAATTTTTACACATTTGAATGTTTAAATATGGAAGACATAATAAAGAAAAAACCCTCACGTACAAAAATACACACTTATTGACATTAAAAAAGAAACGTAAAGACATTTAACAAAAAAAACGACTACTATAACCTAGACAAGAGATCATAAATTTAGACAACACCAAAACTTAACCAAGAAATAAATGAAAAAGTTTATTGTACGAAAAAAAAACATTAACGAAAGTAAATTACACAAATTTTAAAAACATACCAAAGCATAAATGAATTTTAAATTTTAAGTGCAATAAAAAACCAGTTAAACGAATAATTAAATAAACTCACGATGCTCACAACCTGATCATTCTGAAAAAAAGAAAAGAAAAAATGAAAAATAATAATGAAAAAAATTTAATTTTGACTTTCTTAATGAAAATATTTAAAATACATAAAAAAATATGTGTGTACAGTGTTGGACAAAAAATAGCAATAACTTTTGGAAATGAAATGAATGATGAGTGTTGTGTATTTATGCGAGTTGTGTAAACAAATCAGTATACGAGGAATTGATAAGCACATAAATGCCAAGATTTGAGCTTTATTGTAAAGCTGATAGTTTGCCATTATGTTTTAAAATTGATTTTCGGTAAGTGACCGCCACTGGTTCGCATACGAGTATATTGCAGCCGAGAGCCTCAATTTTCGACCACTTTTTGCAGCAGTTTTAGCTGCAATTTTATGTTAACAACCATCCGCCAAAATTAAATAATTTTTTTAAAAGAAACTAAAGTAGAGTATACAATTTATTTTGATTACATATAACAGTACAATATGTGGACAATATTTGATGTAATTTTGAATAAAAAATAGTATAAATTAAGGCGTTGGCAGTGTCGTGAAGTAGACCGTCCACAAGAAAGTGCTTTCGCGGTAGTAATGATAACTTTTTCAAATTTTTATCTGGAATCAAAAATCAAAATTTTCCCTAAAGTAGGTGAATTCTTTTTTTGTACCTGAACCAAGAAAAATTAAATAAATTAAAAATTGAATTTTTGTAGCGTTTTTTTACAAAAAAAACGTAATTTTTTGCATAAAATTAGGCCACCTCTTGGCTTGTAAAATGAGTTGAAATCAAAGATAAAATAAATCCTGCGCTCAGGGACTACAAAAACATGCTTAGATGAAGTGTGGAAAATTTTAACTCATTCGCTTCAATAGACGTTGAGAAATTTTGACTTCCGATTTCGATTAAGAGGTTTTAAGGAAACGCGTTTAAAGTTTTATCATCGGCCAAGCCATGACAAATACGGCTGGTTATAAAACTCACTACAGTTTCGTCTCGATCGACTTGAAACTTGGGTAAAATATTACTGACACTTTGTATTTTTTTACAAAATACTCTCATTATAAAAAAAAGGAATTTTTTGAAGTTTCAAGATCTATTTAACCCCTTAAACTAACATCATATCAATGGCAGCCTCCGAACGTTTTTTTTTTGAGGAGTTTTTATTTCACGTCAGAAATATACGCGAAGGGCTTGATATTCCCTGGCGTAACATTGGCTTGTGGCTGAAAAAAATTTTCTTGTGAATATCAGGAACTGTGGTCATTCAGCAGGCGTCGGTTCACACTTTCAAAGACCTGCGTGGTCTGGATACTGTAGCAGGTTAAACTTCTACCTGACCAGACTTGAATGGACAATTCTTGCACGAGTTGGATTTTATAAGCCCGCAAACCAAGATCCTTCCGCAAAATCTTCCATAAAGTGGAGGAGCACAGCTCGTATTGTTGTGCGGCGCGTTGGCGTATGTAATCATTCGGATCTCTTTCGATAATCCGCTCCACGGCAGCAACAACGATTTCGGTACGCAGTGTACGATGTCTCTGGGGAAGCGCATTACCCACGTAAACGTTAAATGACAAACCAAACTGATTATGAATCCAGTAACAGCTATCAAAAAGACCAATAGTAACGCCTTATTGAAAACCACACACCTAAAAAAACGCCCTTTATAAATTATGCAAATATCAAAATTGGAAAAATTTTCATAGAAATACATATGTATAGATATAATATTTTTCCAGTATATTCGTATTCTCTCACATCATGCATAGAGACATGATCGAGGTATCCCTTTTGCACCGTTTTAGCAAAACTTTCATCACCTTGATTAAGATGTTACATGTGCTTCCAGACTTCAAAGAATCCATTTTTTATTGTCTTATTAGTTTCTATAACATTTCGAGAACATTATCCTGAATTATCAAATCGATTCGAATAAAAGTTTCGCAGATACAGTCTTAGGCAGGTGTGAACACAAAGGCATGTAGACGGCTCAGCGCTTTAAACTTTAAACGCGTTTTTCACGAAACACGATTTTTTTCCTTCGCATGATCCGAGGATCATCTGCCAAGAGCAGAGCTATGAAAATTTCTGAAATTCTTTTTCTTTAAGACTAAACTAAAGAGTCTGATAAAATTGTGCAAAATATACTTTGCAGAGGAAGCGCAGTGACTTCTTTTTTTTTTGTAATTTTTATGCCCTATGTCCGATCTGCTAATAGCTATCTTTTATTGTTCCACTAGTTTTCCTCGCATCAAGGGACGGATATATGTACGTTTTTAACCTCAAGGCAAAAGAGTAAAAAAAATAGCTGTCACGGTTTGAAGCAAACGAAATGGAATGATTTCGACAACTTCTTGCATGGGCCATAATCCTCAGACGTCTACCGCCCTATCGTGATTTATTTTTTATGGATTTTCATTTCGTACAAAAATAAAGGCATGTCCTATGTACCTAAATCCTAACAGCTGGATCTTTTTGTCTTAAGGGAGTAGCACATGGGCTCAAACAACTTGATTTACTTTGAGTAGCGTTGACTACGAAAAAAGCATTCTTCAGCGCTCGTAGCTTATGCAAGTACATTCTATTTCTTCCAGCATTCATATTCGTACATATCTTTCTACATTTCTCCAAAAACTGTTGGCTTGCGTTTGCACAGTTTTCATTATTACTTGGCTATAACCGTGGTCTCATGTGTCCCCACGACTAATGAACGAAAATCTGGAAAAACAGTTGCTAAGGCTCATAATTAAGGGGATCCTCTCCTGATTTTGGGCAAAAGTCAGGTAAAGTTTGTATTTTTTTGTGGGAGAATGAAAAGACGTACGAACTTCCGGTTTTGACTATTAAATTTATTTATTATTTTAGATTCTAAAACGGCAAAAAAAATAGTCGAAATTCAAAATGGCGCTTTCCGTCGGCTACTGCGCGAAAAACATGGCCCAACAACTTGAAGCCTACAGGCTCTCGTAGCAGGCTAAAATCAAAAATTATTTTCATTAGCTGAAGATCATGAAATGTTCTATGTGCTAAACCTTAATTTCAATTATAAAGTTATTATTGTTGCTAGATTTTCACTTTAATTACGTTATAAAAATATAAATAATTAATTATTAATGCTAATCTTGGGTTCAAGACGTACCAAAAATATCTGTTTTGAAACAGTTTTTAGGTAAAAGAAAACGGACGGATAGATCAAGTCAAGGAAAACATGGTTTCCAGAAAGACACGTTCAAAGTTTTTTGACAGTTTGAGAGGCTACGAATTGAAAAATATTCATCGTATAGCAAAATCACTTTAAACACATACGCTACAAATATATAATATATATATATTTTTTCATCCAAAATCAGGAGAGGGTCCCCCTTAAGCGGGATAAAGTTGATCAAATGCAACGACTCAACGATGTCAAATTGGCTGAATGGAGTGATTCTAATTCTCCAAGAGCAAGGTTATAATACCGACCCAGTGATTGTGGATGAAACCTGAAGCCCTGGGGATCTATGTTATGGACTCCATGTGTGATTAAATCGGAATACGCTGTACAGTTTTCAAAAGCCGAACATACCGTGGAAGTGGAAGGTACTTCACGTATTTAAGCCGAAAAAGGAGGTGATTCAGGTACATCCTCCACATCAATAAGTGGACGGAAGACATATTGTACCCAGAGCTCTGCAAAATGAAGTGGGTTTATGTGCAGCGCATACCTACGTTTCCTGAAAACGATGAAAAAGCGAATACGCTAAAAGACGGAGAAGTCTTAGCTGAAGCTGAAATAGCTGTCATAATAGCAGTATGGTAGACAGCGGACATGGGAGCCATGGCTTGTAAAAGACGAAAGAGTTTCTGCACTCAAAACAGCAAGTTGCCACCGGTTCTATATGAAAGTAGTAGGCAGGGTAAAAAAAACTAATTATACTCATATCTGTTATCCGATTTCAGCATTGTAGCGGCCATAAAACTAGGGAAAGATGGTGCTATCATCCTTGCGCATACAAAAAATCGAGGCGCCTCCAAATAAGCTAAAAAACACTTGTAGAGTAAAGCATACGCATAGGACGATAATGAACAGTTCAAAGACTCATTAAATCTAAAAAAGGTTGGTTAGCCAACAATAAAAAAAGAAGCTCCACAAATGCTACTCAATGCTCATTTGAATAATGGAAAGCATTAGTGGAACAGCTAGTGAAGAAAAGAAGAGAAGACCGTTTCGGATTCTAATAATTATATTTAAATTCTTTGGGATCATGCTAAGGAATGCTGGCGATAACGTTATAGGGAGCCTAGGAAGTCTATTTGCTAAGGTAGCATAAAAGAATGCCGAGCCGGGCGAGTCGTATTTCTACCCAAATAGGTAGAGCAAGGCATTGTAGCCAAAGAGCTATCTTCTAATCAAGATAACGTCATTTCAATAATAAACAAAACCAAGCAAACTATGATCTACACTCGAAGGCGCAGCACGTCTACTCAAGGGATAAGTCAGTAAATAATGTTTTGTGGAAACTAGAATCGGTGTTTGAAAAGGGGGAACTTACCATAGGCATGACTAGTTGGAGCTAAATTGCAGGAATATTAAAACGTAATGGGTCTTAGAGCGAATAACAGGGAAATATGTATCTAGCCCAGATGAGTTGGTTTTAGGGGGCATGCAAAGAGGTGCTTAGTATCGTTCGGGGACTCTTTGTAAGCAGGGCATACGTTAAGCATATCGTGGACAAATCTGGATAAGTAGGAGTTTAATATTTAACAATATCTAGATCTAAGTTGCGCCAATATTACGCGGGATTCTCGAGGAAGCTCGAGCTCTTCGTCTGCGATAGGTGGTGGTTTGGCTCCGAGAACGCCATTCACTGGAAGAGAATTCAGGAAGGTGTTGACGGACTCTCGGTGAATGGCGTTTAATGCTTGTCGGTAAGCCGTCCTGAACAGCGATTGTTGCTGGTGTTCAACATTTGGTTCCGTTAAATGGCATTTTGGCCATTTCAAGCTGTAAGTGTTTGACAATTGGTAGCTCTCTGATGAA